CTTTGCAGGCTGGCGTGTCACCACCCTGCACGGATGCTTTTTCTCACTGCAGCTGTGACTGTCAGAAGCTTTGGGGTCTGTTGCTCCTCCATTTCTGGCAACTCTCTGTTCTCCAGTGGTTTTCCTCTCTCACCTGATACACAGCTTTGGCAGGTCCTGGCTGGGCTTTCCTGCGCTCTTCCCATCCTAATCCCAGCCAAGGCAAACACCTTTTCTGCTGCGGGCCAGTGCTGAAAGGAGTACGTGAAATCTCCCACACCTCCTCTGCTACCTCCCCTTTGCTTAATACCTATAATACTTACCCCTTCTTGATGCCAAGCCTCTCACTGACTGCATCTGCCTTGTGTTAAAATGGAGGCTGTAGCATGAGGAATCTCTGTCCCAGAGTCTGGGCATGGCTTAACTCAATACTGCTGCTTGCAGCCTGATTCTATCCCCAAACTGTTCCTGAATTTATCTTGAGTGTGTTATCAGTGGGCTGCGCTTCAAAAAAATAAGCGGAGAGGGTTTTACCCTCACCCTTTCTTGATGGCATTGTACAGAAGGGTAAGTCAGGGCTTCTGGAGTGGTTACAACAAACCTCTTGTCAGCATTTGTTCCCTGCAGTGAAAGCACCGCTTTCTTTTTGCCTTGCTGTGTTGGCCACAGATCAGATTCCGAGTTACTGTGAACAGTGAAAAGGTTAACAGCTAGTGGTTTTCCCCTGGGGGACAGCCTTCAGGTGATGAGTGCACTGGAGCTGCTGTCTATTTTTGCTCGCTGCCTGCAGAAGGGCTCATGGGCAAAGCTGTCCTCGTGCTCCCTCCCCTGCTAGCTGGTGCTGCCTTAGTCATGGGGAGCTGGGAAAGGGCGCTCCGTTTTCAGTCTGACTTTGGAGATCGTGCATTGAGCTTTCTGTGTTTCCTCGAGCCAGACAGCACATTTATTTTTGGCTGTAGTGCACGGGGTGCCTTTCGGCTTCCTTGTAATGAGCAAGAAGTTGTGCAGCACATCAAACGGGATGGTTTGGCTCGTTTGATTCCTTCTCCTGGTTTGCTTGGTTTAGCAGTTGGAAATATTCCTTTTTCCAGCACCCAGGAGGGTGTTTTGAGTGAGGCATTGTGGTACCTTCACCTACAGCCAAGCACTGGTAACCCCTAGTATCTTTCCTGCCCCTTCCCTTCAACAACTGCCAATTTCCTCCTTTCTGTAGCTTTTTAATTCACCCCTTCCTTCTTCTTCCTCCTCCTGCCAACACTTGCAGAGCTGTCAGGGTGACACGTAGGTCTAGACTCCAGATCTGCCAGCTGCTCTCTTCTGATGTAGATGAACCAGCTGCTGGGCTGAATTTTGAGAAGGTGCTCGTGGAAGTGACTCAATCTACGACCATGCCAAGGATATTGATTGTTGCTGAAAGGGGGTGGGCCAGGGCTGAAACGCAGGTGGGGTGCGTGTGGTTCTCTTGTATCTGGATGAATTACCTCTAAAAATGAGAGTGGAAATTCTAACCCCCAAATGAGTGCCTGGATGGGCTTTGGATCCCCATTTCCACAGCTGCTACATTTGGTTTTGCACTTCCCTGTAACCTTCCCCAAAAGCTCTTGTGCAACCACCTCTGCTCCATCTCATCCTGTGAACTGGATGCTCGCCGTGCTCACCCTGCTCTTCTCTCTCTCACAGCGGATGGATCGCGGCACTGTCCGAGCTGCACGGGAACCTGGCGGTGGCTATTATCATGATGGTGGTGGCAGGATTCTTCACGCTGTGCGCGGTTCTCTCGCTCTTCCTCCTGAAGCAGGTGAGTGGCTTGCAGGCAAGGTGAGGGCTCAGCTGAATTGCTGCAGGTCAGGCTGCTCCCAGGGTATCCTGGGGTTGCCACCTCCCCTCGTCTGTTTGTGGGGATCAGGCTGCTTTTGAAGGTGTGATCTGAAGATGTCATTGTTAGGTCAAGAGCTTTTAATGAAAATACTTTTCCTTGTGTTTCCCACATTGATCCCAAGTGGCTTGAACACTAAGGGGACTCCCAGGTGAGAAAGTAGCCTTTGAGGAGGGAACAAGAGGCACAGATGCTGGTTTAACCACACGTGTTGGAATGAAGGAGGGTATAGTAAGGCTTTGCTGTGTTGGCTGCTGTCCAGAGAAGGTGGCCAGCGAGGTCCCAAATGACAACCTCATCAAAACACAGACATCAAATTCCTTGCACCTCCCTTTAGCTCGAGTCTGTCCAGAGCTGGCTGAGCAGTGGAGGCAATTCCTTTATTTGGATGTCTAGGGCTTTAAAGTCACTACTGCTCCAATCTTTTGGGGCTTTTCAAAGCCTGGTGGGATCCAGACCAGTGCCTTCCCTCTGCCTTCTGAATACAAGCCTCCCTTCTTCCTTCTGATCGACCACACAAGGGTTGCTTTTCTGCAATTAGCTGCAGAAATCTGGCTTTGGGGAAGGCAAGGACAGACTAAATTGATCCTGTTTCTATTGTTTCCTCCTCCTTTTCTCCTAAATTGTGTCTGGAAGGAAATATCTGATGCTTGTAGTTGCAGGCACCTTTGGGTCCTGCCCTGTCTGTAAATGCAGGGTTTAGGTGTCTGTACTGTCACCGTGTGGGGAGAGGAGTTTTTGATCTGATAGCTGCCATTTTGCAGAGTGCTCCATATTTTACCAGAAATTAGGATCTCCTGAAATCTGCCACATCATGTGCTGGGTGAGATGGCACCGATGGCTTCAGTCCATCCTCTCTAGCTGCCAAGAGCACTGGTTAGCAATGGGGCCAAGGAAAAGCACACTGGCAAGCAAGGGGTGTGCAGAAAGCCCACAACTGCATGCTGATTTGCTTTTTTCAAATTAATTTTAAAATTACTTTTCCTCTCTCTTCCTTTTTTCCTAGGTGCATTCTCTGTATCGACGCACAGGAGCCAGTTTCCAAAGGGCCCAGGAAGAGTTTTCCCAAGGCATCCTCACCAACAGAAGCTTCCAGAACGCAGCCACTGGGGTGGCCTCCTCAGCTGCACAGAATGCTTTCCGGGGAAATTAGCCCTTCCCTGGGCTGCCTTCCCTTCGCTTCCTCCGCTGTCATCACCCCAATGTTTTTTTTTTTTTTTTTTTTTTTTTTTAATTTTTTTTCCCCTAAAGATGCACTTTTCAGGGGTATCATGTTAGCTCTGTGATGCCGACTCCACATGAGGTCTAGTTTGTTTTGTTTTCTTTTTTAGCTTCAGCTGACCTATGTTTATGACGATTAGTTTTCCCTGTCTTGTTTTAGGGTGTGGGGAGATGGGGGAGACATTCTCTGAAGCAAATATATTTCTCTATCCAGGACATACTGAGTGTTTGTCTCTCTTCCTCCCCTTGCCCTGTCTGTAGCAGGAAGGCGAGGGGAAGCTGTTTTTTTATTTTATTCTCTTCTGTCGGCCTTTGCTATGAAGAATTTGATTATCTGCTGGGTTTTTTTTGGCGGGGGGGGGGTTGTAACTTGCATGTAGTTTATGTCGTTAATTTTAAGAGTGGAAACTGTACTTTTGGTTTATTACACTTCCACAATGCTGCGTTTTGACCTGTTAACTGCTACAGCCTCCTGAGAGTTGGGGTAACATGGCACAAAGGAAAACTTGGGAGCATAGGGGGTTAAAAGGAGGGGAAATTTATTTTTCTTTGGCCTCCCCATGGCAGATCCTCTCTCTGCTTCCATGAAGATCTTGCAGATGATGTCCCTCAGGGCTCCTGTGCCCTTTTGGCACAGAGAGGGGAGAAGGGGTTGGTGGGGGCTCCAGGGGTCTTCACTGGGGCCATAAACCAGTGGAAGGAAAGGAAAAGGGATTTCTATTGGACTCGCCACAGGGTGCCCACAGTGTCCTTCTCCAGACAACCTCAAGAGCATGATTGAATTTTTTTCTCCAGGGACAACTCTTCCCTGCCTTCCTCCTCCTCCTCCCACATATTTTTTTGTTTTTTCAGCTGGAGAAGAACTCGTTTAATGCATGTTTAACTCCAAAATCCTGTGTCTGGAGATGGAACATCCCTTTGGATGTGGATGCTGTGCAGGGGTTGTGGCAGGGTGTGACAGGGACAGTTTCTGCTCGATGCTGGAGAGGGTTTGACTTGCAGATTTGCCCCTTTTTGTCCCTCCTGCCCAGTGGGGGGGTTGGATTTTGTGCCCTTGTCTTTCATTGGGGAGGGGGAAGGTTCTGCCTGGCACCTCACCCAGAAATTGCATTTTTACACCCTTTTTCCTTCTGTATTGTTTTTATTCCCTGCGTCTGATCTTTTCATGTTAAAAATAATGATGATAATAATTAATAATAAAATGTATATGTGCTGGAAAAGAAAACACACCTCCTGGCGATGGGGGCGTGGCTGGGGCGGAGGGGGCGTGGCTGGG